TATTAATTTAGTACAAATTCTTCATTTTTTAAATACAAAAGCGTTTTGTTCTTTCAGCGCTAAATGAAGAATCTCTTTTTTAAAAAGTGCAAAACTTTAAAGCAACAATGGACGGAGTGATAATGCCACTGATTCAGCTGATTCCAGACCTGAGCATCATGTTAGAGTCACTGTTACATTTGCGGCCTGTTTTCAGAAAACTAAAACCCTAAAACTTCCGTAAACTAACCCGAGCCTCAGACCAATGACGCCGTAAAGTGCTTTAGTTGTTTGCATAGTAATTTCAGCCTCACCTCGTGAAATGCGTCTCTATAACACGAGTTCTTATCTTGCCATTTATACGCGAAAACGAGGTTTTTACGTACATATGAAACGCAGTTTTAGCGTGCATATGATACGCACTTTATGGCAACTAACTTCTACATTCTAATCCTGGGGTTTACAGGCTATCATCATAAGCACGCAAAGACTCATTTTCGCGTTTTAAATTGCACGATAAACAATGCGTGCTATAGAGACACATTTCATGAGAGCAGGTTAGAATTAGAATTATGTAATTATGAATTATTACATATAGGTGAGTGTTTCGTTTTTGTTAATATAAAGTGGATTATTGTGTTTTTAGCCTATAACGTAGGCTTTTCGTTTATTCATTTATGCCTAATATATGTTTTTAGATGTTAATTCGTTTGTTTTTTGTAAGCTTGAAAATCATTTATAGGCTACATGCAACTTGTGTTTAAATTGTAGCCATAGGATTTATATGTAAAATTTAATATTTAACAAGCTGAGTGCAGTCTAGTGGTCCGAGGTTCTCCTTAATCTACAAAAGTTTCATTTATCAGAAAAACACGGGTAAAGTACACGTAAAAGAGGTGCTAACATCCCTAACTGTGTGTAGATTAAACACTGATCATATGTTTGACATGCATGCATGCCTCGGTGAGCTCCACATAGCCTAATCATATATCCCATATTCCACATGAGTGTATAGCAGACTGTATCGGGACCTGAGAAAATACAGATAAACGAAAGCCTTGATGAGTGTGTCGGACTGCCCATCACTGTTGAGACCCGACAGCCAGGCCTGAACTCAGGTCTGCAGATTAATGGATCATGGATGGATACAAGGACATCAAAAACATCTAAGAAATAAAATATAAATTAAGTCGACTTCGGACACTATAGCGTTATAAATAGTCGCATTATTTTGGCTATTTTTCCACCAAAAGGTTAGAAAGCACGCGCTTTCGAAGCACATATGAAAAGCAGGTCAACAATGATCGTGAATTGCATGGAAGCATTTAGTCTGTATTGAAGCTTGTTTTCGCCACGGGTTATTGTTTTTATCTCACACTTCTGACTTTTCCCCTCGCAATTCCGAGTTTATATCTCAGAATAATGGCGAAAAACAACTCAGAATACAGTGTTAAAAAAAGGTTCTTAAATGATATCGATGCTTCCAAGAAGAACCTTTAATATTCACGGAGCCTTTCCATTCCACTAAAGATTCTTTAGATTATTAGAATGCTCTTCACACTAAGATGTTATAAGAACTGTTCACTGAAAGGTTCTTTGAGGAACCCAAAATGGTTCTTCAATGGCATCGCTTGGAAAACTCCCTTTTGGAACCTTTATTTTTAAGAGTGTGTACGGCTTAAACTCGCAATTGCAAGAAATGAAGTCAGAATTGTGCGATGAAGAGTCGCGATTACCCCTTTCGTTTATCAGTGGCGGAAACAAGCTTCCGTGATTATGGTTTCAGCGCATTCCCTCAGAGTGAGTCCGGGGAGACCCTGTCCAGGCGGGCCGAGCCTGCAGGTGCGCCGCCGCAGAATGAGGAGAGAGATGTCCTGAGGGAGTCTGAGAGTAAAGTCTGCTGGGAGCTGAAGGAGTTCTGCTGGAAGCCCGGAGGGGGGTGCAGGAACCCCGACAGTATCCCGCCAGGAGCCGAGCTCATCCCGAACCCGGGCCGAGTCGCGGGCTCGATCCCAGGACCGAAAGAACCGTAATGACCTTGATTCAGAAATCCGTGCGACGTTCCGTTGTAATGTGGATGGTGTAAAGACAATAAAGGCGATATTTGCCAGTACAGAGGATTATTCGCCGTCTCGTTTATTCCCAATCCCAATGGGGAAAACCGAAGTCCTCGCTTTATCGCCAGTTTCCCTCTGGAAGTCGCCGAGCGCCTGCGGAGTTTCCCCGTGGTTCCCCCGATAAACACATCGTCGCTCGAGGGGTCCAGCATCCAGTAGTTGCCCTTCCCAGGGTCGTCGTAATGTCTCGGCACTTTAACGAAGCATTTATTGAGACTCAGATTGTGCCGGATGGAGTTCTGCCAGCCCTGCTTGTGTTCCCGGTAAAATGGGAAGTTTTTCGTGATGAACTCGTAGATTCCGTTCAGCGTGAGTCTCTTCTCCGGGCTTTGCCTGATTGCCATCATGATCAGCGCGTTGTAGCTGAACGGGGGTTTGTCGAGCTTCGCGGGTTTGTCGGGTTCCTCTGCATCTTTGAGTTTCCCCGAGTCGGGCTCCATCTCCACGGGCTCCGGAGAGGGGTTCGGGTCAGTGACCGGCTGCAGTGTGTTCTTCTCTGGAAGAGTCGTGTCGTGTTTATCACTCTTAGACGGAAGCAATAGACTTTTGATACTGAAAGAACTCAGTTTTTGCAGCGTCGTTGATTCTTTCTGATCCATGTCGCTTTATCAAACCGCAGCGTGAGTTTGTTTGGAAATAAAGGTCAGGACATCATCTGTGAGAAAAAGCACTAGGAGAGGAGAAGGAGAGCCAGAACTGGAACAGAAATTCGCTAATTAAGGAGGTTCCCTGATGTCGTGTCGTCACTGAAGAGGAGGAGCCTGGACGAGCCAGTTGATCCTGATCTGATACGCGCTCAACGCTAGACGGAAGTCAATAGTTTTATCATTCCATGCAAATAAGTACAACCTACCCCGCTTTTTCACTCTCTCTCTCTCTCTCTCTCTCTCTCTCTCTCTCTCTCTCTCTCTCTCTCTCTCTCTCTCTCTCTCTCTCTCTCTCTCTCTCTCTCTCTCTCTCTCTCTCTCTCACACACACACACACACACACACACACACACACACTAACACGACCCCTAAATACCCATCACACACAACTTTCTGCAGTTGAACATTTAAAAAAAAAAAAACATCACTTAGTGTGATTTATAAGCTCTGATGAGGACCAATAATACAACCACCAGTTCAAAAAATCCCTTTTCTAAAGGTTATAACTTTAGAACCCTTTGTTCTAGAGAAATGAAATGTAGTTCGCCTGATTCCTCTCTTCATGCTGATCACATTCAACATCTTAAATTAAGACTCCACCCATTACAGTAGAGGCCATTTTGAAAAGTACATTATTCCATTTATTCACTAAATTTCCAATTGTATACAAAATCTGATCAGATGATCTTTGGACTGAGCCGCACAGAAATTACTGAACTGATTTTTTTTATTAATCTTTGTTCAAAAGTTCAAAACGAGCTCGTTCGAAAATTGGTTCAGAGGCTGTATCTCGGCCAAACTTTGATCAATCGAAATGGAAATTGGTACAATTCATCGGAACCATGATGGCAAATTTGGGAACAGTGCCACAGGTCATGAGATCTGAAAGATTGGTATTTTTGCTCAGAACTTTCGTGTAAAATCGGCTCTGATGATCTTTGGACCGAGCCGCACAGAAATAAGTCTCCGAAGTTGACCTTGCCTGTGTTTGTTGTCTTGTGCCATATAGCTTAGCATGCTAATTGGTTATTTGAAAAAGTTTCTCTCTTTTCAGACATTGAGTCTTTCTGAGAATGATCTAATCTGAATTTATTAATTATAACCTGCAGTGCATTTATACTATATCTTCGTTTTGAGTTGATTCTCACTTGAACTATGGGATTTCTGCATCTGTGTGAACACGGCTTCCCAGTGGCTCAATGAGATTCGTGACAGGCACCTGACCCAGAGACTGTAGGTTCAAGTCCTGTGTGTGACACCCAGGCCTGGATTGGCTAATCAGGAGCACTAAAAAAAGAGAGCAATAAAAAAAAGAAAGCTCTAGAAACTGAAGCAGCCAAATGTATTAAGCTAAGTACATTTTTCCTCAAAACCAGCGAGAGTAACCTTACAACAAATGAAGACCATGAGGAGGCCGGTAAGCTAACGTTGTTAAGCTAGTTAGTTAGAAGCAGTGCAAGATGCAGGGCTCGACATTAACACTGTCCGCTGTTTTCCTGAATACCCTCACGATTGAAATGTGAAACTGATTTCATACAAAAGTTCAATACAAGTTGTTAAAATGAAGTCACTTACATTTTAGACGCAATATTGACTGTTTTTGTTCGTTTCAGCAGCAAAAATAGTTCCAAACAAAGATCACAGCAGAACTAAAGCGCATCTCACAGCAACTGTGTCTAATTACGAGTGATTCTGCGAATTGTTTGAATGAATGACTCAATGACTCACTCATTAAGAAGGTATCATGCCGCCCCCTACTGGTGGATTAGGGATATGTTTAAAAGCGTCATTATATCCAACATTTCTTATTTGTATATTCACATATTTATACACACACACACACACAAAAAAAAGCAAGTAAAAGACTTGTGAATGACAGATTTACTGCACATGGAAAGGCTTAATATTGAGCCCTGTTATGTATCAACATTTGTATTATAGATCTTCAGAAGCAGCCTCTAGTCCGGTTTGCTGCTAACAGTGAAGAGCCAGCCAACGTTACTAAACACCAGTCAGGAGCCCAACACACCAGAATGGGCAGGCAGGATTGTTATTGAGTGAATAAGAATTAGAAGAACTGATATTAATAAAGAGTGGTGTACACCTGCTCAATAAAATTGCCCTGGGATAATGAATGACATCAGACGATTCAGCACTACATTAATGAAACTGACTTGACTTGACAGTGGCACTGATCCTCCACAAACTCGTCTCCATACCGGTGTGACTCCGATCTTCAAGCAGAGGGACCTGGATAATATTCTGAATGTTACGATCCAGTCTGACCTCTGACCTGTAATGCTCCTGAATCATAATCACACATTGTTCACTCGTTGGCCAGAGGAGAACTGAGCGACTGAGTCTGGGTTCTCCCAAGGTTTATTTCTCCATTCTGTCACTGATGGAGTTTTGGTTCCTTCACTGTCGCCTTTGGCTTTTGGCTGCTTAGTTGGGGACATTTATTTTAATATTCAACAATATTATTGATCTCCTGCATTGACACCATTATATGAGAACTGGAGGATGACATTAATGTTTTCTCCAGAGAGATACTACAACCCAACTACTATACTATACTACACTATACTGCACTATACTATATAAATTAACTGAATTAATAACTTTTTTTTACAACAAAAAGGAACCATCAATGAACTTACTTAAGCTGGACTATGACACTATTTTCTTCTAGAAACAAACTTTGTTGCATTATTGTCCTGTTATCTCTGTAAAGCTGCTTTGAAACAATCTGTATTTTAAAAAGTGCTATATAAATAAAGGTGACTTGATTGATTAGAAAGCTTAGTTAAAAGGGGAGATTTGAGGTGAGAAATATGACCATTTAAAAAATGTAATTTAGTGTCAGAAGCAGAGCCAGGAGCCAGCATGCCAGAGGTGCTCTCCCTGTGGAAGACACAGGTACGCTGACACAGGTACGCTGACACAGGTACGCTGACAGAGGTACACTGACACAGGTGCGCTGACACAGGTACGCTGACACAGGTATGCTGACACAGGTAAGCTGACACAGGTAAGCGGACACAGGTACACTGACACAGGTACACTGACACAGGTACGCTGACACAGGTACACTGACACAGGTACGCTGACACAAGTAAGCTGACACAGGTACGCTGACACAGGTACACTGACACAGGTACGCTGACACAGGTAAGCTGACACAGGTACACTGACACAGGTACGCTGACACAAGTAAGCTGACACTGTACACTGACACAGGTACACTGACACAGATAGCTGACAAAGGTACGCTGACACAGGTACGCTGAAACAGGTACACTGACACAAGTAAGCTGACACAGGTACGCTGAAACAGGTACGCTGACAAAGGTACGCTGACACAGGTACGCTGACACAGGTACACTGACACAAGTAAGCTGACACAGGTACGCTGAAACAGGTACACTGACACAAGTAAGCTGACACAGGTACGCTGAAACAGGTACGCTGACAAAGGTACGCTGACACAGGTACACTGACACAGGTACACTGACACAGGTAAGCTGACACAGGTATGCTGACACAAGTAAGCTGACAAAGGTACGCTGAGACAGGTACACTGACACAGGTACGCTGACACAGGTACGCTGACACAGGTACGCTGACACAGGTATGCTGACACAGGTACGCTGACACAGGTAAGCTGACACAGGTACGCTGACACAGGTACGCTGACACAGGTACGCTGACACAGGTACGCTGACACAGGTACGCTGACACAGGTAGACTGACACAGGTACGCTGACACAGGTATGCTGACACAGGTACGCTGACACAAGTAAGCTGACACAGGTACACTGACACAGGTACGCTGACAGGTACACTGACACAGGTACACTGACAAAGGTACGCTGACAGGTACACTGACACAGGTACACTGACACAGGTACGCTGACACAGGTACACTGACACAGGTACACTGACACAAGTAAGCTGACACAGGTACACTGACACAGGTACGCTGACACAGGTACACTGACACAGGTACACTGACACAAGTAAGCTGACAAAGGTACGCTGACACAGGTACACTGACACAGGTACGCTGACACAGGTACGCTGACACAGGTATGCTGACACAGGTACGCTGACACAGGTATGCCGACACAGGTTCACTGACACAGGTACGCTGACACAGGTACGCTGACACAGGTACACTGACACAGGTACACTGACACAAGTAAGCTGACAAAGGTACGCTGACACAGGTACACTGACACAGGTACGCTGACACAGGTACACTGACACAGGTATGCTGACACAGGTACGCTGACACAGGTATGCCGACACAGGTACACTGACACAGGTACGCTGACACAGGTACGCTGACACAGGTACGCTGACACAGGTACGCTGACACAGGTTACACTGACACAGGTACGGTGACACAGGTATGCTGACACAGGTACACTGACACAGGTACGCTGACACAGGTATGCTGATACAGGTACACTGACACAGGTACGCTGACACAGGTAAGCTGTGGACCACCGTGTGGGAATAAGCGAACATGATCACACTAGTTACAATATAACAACTTTCTATGCCCAAGTGTTACTAGTGACCCATTATGTTTTTGATCAAAAGATAGTAAATATACAAAGCCCACGATTGAAAGGGAATAAGATAAAAGTCATATGAAATAAGCACATTTTGCCATTTGGAAATTTTAAATTGCTTTGATTTAATTTAATTTGAACGTGCTTTCCATGTCAAATATGTTAAAGCTTACAGAATGCTTTTTATTGTGATTGAATACAGTTGCACTGGAGTCTAGGGATACAGAAGGCGGTGTGAAAGCGAGAGCAGAGACTCAGATAACAGAGGTAACAGCTCATCCGCAGATCCCAGAACCACCAGCTGTGAACAAGGCAGATCAAGACGGTTCTGTTGATAGTTTTCATTACTTTGCTAGACCTCAGTCACAGGATATACATAAAAAATTTTCTTATCGTCCTCAACAAACCTTAAATGTTCCTATACCAAAGGTTTTCAATAGCAAAGATGGAACAAACCGCAAGTGGCTGACTTACTGTGGAAAATCCAACCT